ATTCATCGCTTTTACTTGTTTTGTTTACGCATGAATTTGCAGGAGGGCTCCGGCGGTCGCGATGGCGGTAAATGGGAAAATGAGAGCGACGGCGACGCTTCACGCTTCACTCTACTTGGCACTCACTTAATTATTGCACAAGGAACTGAAACGGGGGCAGCAAGGCGTTTCGCCTGGGGGTGACACACCAGCACAAGTTGCAACTGCTGCTGCTGCTGCTACTGCAACTGCAACTGCTGCTACTGCAACTACCGCTGCAAGTGCAATTTGCAAGTGCTGCAACACTACAACTACAACTGCAGCTTGGGCAACAAACTTTTCAGTGTGGCAATGTGCTTGACATGCATGCTTAGCCGTAATGTTAAAGCCAAATCGCCCATTGGCTTTGGGACTAGCGGGGAATTTAGAGGAGAATATTGGATCCTTTGGCCAACGGAAAGCGAAAAGTTGTGTGCAGAAAGTGGTTAAAACTGAAAATTCTAGTAAGCCCGTTTAAAGTGCTGCCTTTTTCAATAAGTGTAGGTGGCAAGTCAGTGGAAGGCAAAGGAAAATTGTTTGATTAAAAGTTTAAAAAAGTTGGGAAAAATATTTTGGGCAACTTTTAGTTTTTAAGAAAACCGAATAAAGCTGAAATATTTTAAAATTTGCATACTGCGCAGAAAATTTGTAGTGCATAGGCTAAATTAAATACCTTATTGATCAATTCCGAAATATTTAAACGGTAATTGCATTTGAATTTGTGTTTAATCATCTGTCAACTCAAAGTTGCTAAGCACTCAACAGGAAAAGATAATAATTTAGAGATTTATCTTCTTAAACAATTTACATCTAATAAATTACTTAAACAATGTCAGTAAATAACAAGGCCACTGCCAGCCAAACTAATTTCTGTGTAAGCCAAATAGTTTAACCTCCGCTAAATTAGCTCTACCGCAAAACATCATTCACAACCGAAGCAGATGTGACACTCGTTGGAAACTTTGCATAATCCATATGATGGAAATGAAACCGAATTCGAAATTGAAAATTGCGTAAAACAAGAGAACGAATGAACGGCAATTAGTAGAGTTGCCCGCAATTGACCTTTTGCTTGATTCTTGAATAAATTATTTCCACGCTAATTATGCTTAATGTCCTGGCAATGGTTTTTGGCTGACACTTGCAGCTGTTACCTGTCCGGTGGCAAACATATAGCGTATATATCGCTATCACATCCGGCGACAAGTTTTGTCCGCTTCCGGTTGGCAATTAAGTCGGGTGCGATTTGTACTATAAGCCACCCCACCGATATTATTGTTATCGGTCTGAAACAGACACACACACATACACATTCTCTGGCCATTTTTCATTTCGTTTCTCTCGAACCCCCACTTTATGGCCTGAATGTGGTGTAAGCCCTTTTGCCTTTGCTTATTTCGTTATCATTATCCTGTTATCCTGTAGCTTCTGGTGCTGCCAGGAGTGGCGCATAATTAAATTATCTCGCAATTGCCTGCTAAGTGCGCCAGACATTCGTTTATGTTGGAATTTAACCAGAGTATTAACTCCCGCTGCTCTCCTATTTCTTTAGCTATCATAGCTTCGGTTTTTTTATATTTATTAAGCGTCCCTTTTTTATCTTGGTGCCCTGAACTTTTGGCCGCTTCTGGCTTTTGTTCTTTTATTTTTTAATATTTTTTGAGGGCTTTCCTAATTATTATCTTTAAAATGTTTTGCAAAAAAAAATTGGTCCGCCACCCGCTCACAAAAAACGTCAATAAGTTTTGAAGAACCCTAATTATTTTGTTGTGTGCCTTCTTTTTTTTCTTGTTTCGGGAAAAAGTTTCTGTGGGCAGCCAAACTCAAACTGGTCTCGAAAGTTTAAGAGAGCATTTTCCGATAAATGGGAAAAAGTGTTTTTCGCCCGCTTACAGCAAAATCATTTTGTCATCTACGTTTGCATCTAGTGCAGAGCAGCCCCTTCCTGCATTCAGCACTTTGGTCCAAGGACAACATCAAAGGCTTTGCATAACAAATGCATTGTTTTGCCTTCAACTTCTCTCGGACTTGTAAGTATTGTTCCCAAAAGCTGTTGCACAAGGAAACACACACATGCACAGCACATCCTGTTTGCTTAAAAGCTTCCGCCATGCCTGGCATAGTGTATGTCCTTGCTGCTCTTAGCAAATGTGCAATTATGACCAACCATGAGAGCCCCATGATTGACGCCGACTGCCCATAAATCAATAATGTGCAAGTTGAGCATGGAAAAATGTCAACGAATGGACAAACAGCACATTCCTCTTGCCTTGACCTCGTACTCCTCCTCCTCCTCCACCTCCTCCCCGTCATGGTCATCAGCATTTATTTGCAAAAATAATGCCCATCATTGTTAATCAAAGGCGGACAGGACTAGGAAGGATCTGGGGAGTTACCCTAATGCTGACGCTGGTCAGCCATTGTTGTGTTGACCGGTGACCAATGTCCACTGGCCGAAGGCCGATGGCCAGACATTTGCTAGTCAGGAATTCAGACCGGCTCTGGCTTTCGTCCCGGCCTTTTGCTGCTGCTGTGTTCAATGGTATGTGCCTGACGCTGTCTGACATGCAGGCGCAATCATGGCAAAGACACTAGAAGAGGTCTTAAAAGGTCTTCTTGTTAAATATAACACCTAGTTTTTTTTATCAGTCAATAAGCACGTATCTCTTTTCTAAATAGTTACTATATACAAGTGGAACTTAGTCATCAGAATATGTTTTGTAGGAACTTTTCAAGTTCGATGACACACTATGACTATTTCTATTGTTTAATAAGAATTACCAAAAAAAAAAAGTAAATATTATTTTAAGAAACTTTAAGCTTGACTGCCCTACATCATAAAAACATACAAACTCAATGTAATTTTAAAAATGTAGTAACTTTTCTTACGTGTACATCTAAAAAAAAAATAGAGGAAAAAGTGATTAGAATAGGCTTACTGCCAAAATACGAACGTTTATATTCAAACTATTTAAATTCGTAATGCAATATTATTTATTTGTATATTTCAATTCTCAGTAAATTTCTCATAAATTTCTTTTTCTTAAGATTTTGTTTTGTCTATAATTTTTATTTCGTTTCTAATTTCATTCATTTTTTCCCATATTTATTTCTGATATAAATCTATTTGGTTACTATTTAGTTATCCATGCCTGTGGACATGTGTCCGTCCGAACATACAGACAAACACATAGACACTAGTCCACACTCATGTCCTCAACAATGGACGTTCGCAAACAACAATGACAATAACAATAACAACAACAGCAACGACAACAATAACAACAACAACCCGAGTGCCACTAACAACAATGGAGCACAAAATTGCGGCTGTCATCAGTGAGGAAATTTGCATTTTGCACAAATTGCAATACGTAAGCTCTGCTTTTCTGCTTTTCCGCCCCTCTATCCTCCATCCCATATCCATTTTTCCGCTCCTACTTTGTTGTTTACCCTACTACTTTTAGGGCTTTTATTTTCTTTTTTGCACAATTTATTGGGCCGCATATCAAATGATTTTGGGGGCTTTAATGGTGTGTATATAGATAGACAGATAGCTGTGCCAGAACATGGAATTATTTCGAACTCATTAGAGGAAAGGATGCATCTACAGTAGGAGCAGTGGGACCGACAAGGAAATTGCATTTACCAGCCCACCCACTCACATGCATATCAATTAAGCTCGAATTGGGTGGGTATGTGGGTGTGTGTGTGTGGGTGTGCGACAATGAGGCTACTAATGGGCGGTGGGCGTGCCTCATTAATGTTGCAGGGCCCGACTCCGAATGCAGTTAATCGAAAGATTTTCCAGTCAACTGGCCTCGCGGGACTCCTTTTCTCTCTCTCTATCTCTGTTCGCAAAATTAGAAATCACGGAAATAGTTTCCGCCTGTGCACTGAACTGAAGTGGGCGTGGCCGGGGCGGGCCATAATTCCATTGATTATGCCAGGTCCGCCAAAAGGGGAATTTAATTCAATCATTGACAGCTGAACGATGGCATTAGTGACACAGCCTTATATATACATTGGAAATAATTACTTAAATTTTTGATTTTTTATTATAAAAAGAAAATAAAATAGTATTTATAAAACAAATAAAAAAAATTTGTAAAAACACTTTATATTTTAATTAAAAAAAAGAGGAAAGACGATTTAAGTTTAAAAAATCATTTGCTACAGTATACAGAATAGTTAATTGAAACGAATTATTATAAAAGGTTTTAAATGAAAAACTTAAAAAGCATAAACCAGCTTTTTGGTTCATTTTTTTACTACAGAATATTCAAAAGTAAATTAAAAAAAATTATTAACAGCTTTTGAATTTGAGAAACTTAAACAGTATAAAAGGGTTTTTAAGTAACATTTTCTTTATTGGTTAGTAAACATTTTAAAAGATTAAAGAAAAGTTTTCCTACATTTTCTCACTACTATTATTAAGATAAAAAGATTTCGACGCTTTGGATCCGAAGGTTGGTTTATCAGAAGACCAATTAGAATTTCGATTACAAAAATAATCGATTACATAATGAATAAATAATATTCACAAAGTAAACAAAAACAAACAAGAAACATAGTAGATTTTTACAATCTAAATTAAATAAGGTTATTAAATCAAATTTTCATCTTGGCTTATATTTTTGTTTCAATGTAGCGATGCCGTTCACTACCCGCGTGTTAATCATACGCCACGTTGCACAGCTATGAGCTAATTAAGGTTCGAACAACTCCTAGCCCCTCGAGTGATTTAATAGATTTCCAGTTTGACATTTTATATGCATTCACCGAGAGAGGGCTTAAGTGGCTGAGGCCTGCTGAGTGTTTGCTGTGTAATGAATGGGTTGGCATCCTTTTTCCTTTGATTTATTGGTTTTGCTTTTCAGCTCGTTTTTTTTTATTTTTCGGTTGTGCAACCCACACAGCAGACGTGCTTTGCATAATTATTATTTGGAGAGTTTGGCAAGTGTTCCAGGCCTCTGTTGATTTTATTCTCCTAGTACATGGCTCAGAACATATGAATTCAATGTTAAGTTTTCGATAGTTTAGCCGAGAGGATCCGAATCTGAATAGTTTTCGTAAAACGTAAAGTTAAGGTACTTGTGCTCAAAGCTTATTTTAAAACCGTTTGATATAGCCACAACAAATACAAGGCACATGTTGAGCATCAGCAGTAAAAAGTAGTTTATGAAGAAAAAGGTATCCAGTTTGATTATGGTGTCTTCTTTATATCTGAATTCCCAAAGAGTGATATTCCAGCTAAGGATACTCCTAGTAAGATTGCCAGTAAGAATTCTGGGGGCTTAAATATATTAATATCATTCATTAGTGACATTCAAAAGTCAGATTACCATTATATCCGCAATATCCAGAGTCTGCTTATAGTGATTAATGTCTTTGCAATCCAATTTTTGCTGGTTAAGAGCACGATCACAGAAAGTATATATACACTGAAATAGTGGGAGATATCTCGCTGAATTTTTACCAGCCGATTGTGTACTTTAAGTAGATTTCTAAGCATTTTCCAGCATTGTTCGTTTCTAAGCTGATTTATTAATTCCTGATTCAGGGACTGAAGCCAAATGTAGCTATTTACGTGGAGAAGAAGTTGCAGATGCCAGCCCAACAGGTAGGTGAATACAAGCCATCTTTGGGTGGTATTCTTCACAGACTCCATTTGCCAGAACAAAACGAACAGTATTTCGATGGAAATCAGCCAGGAACAGCAAAAGGCTCGCCTTACGGACACACAGAACCGAGTTCCCAATTTCGACTGCAACTCCCTGTGAGCTTGGGCCATTTCATTTAAAGTTTCCGGCAAAGATCTCTTTAGCATTATGTAATAGATGCAGGCAGTTTGTAGATATAGAGGCTGCCACGATCGACCACAAATGCATCGAGAAAAACAAAGTACATAAGGAGACATATAAGGCTCCAGAAATAGACAAAGTATATGAACACCTGATGGCCAAAGCGGAACGTCTGTGTGTCCTATCATAATGCAGGCTGCACAAACACAACAGATGGCAGACCTTCTTCTGGTAATCGAAGAAGCTGACAATGTGGCACACGCAGAGCAGTTTGTGCAGCGGCGCTGACAGCGGCATGTTTCCAACTAATTGGACTAACGACATCGACGGCAGCACAGGACGAGTAGTTGTAGTTGTAGTCCTGTGCAGTCAAAGGAGCAAAAATGCGAGTGCGGGGGGCCATAACAATTTGGTGAGTACTTAGCTCTAATGCGAGGCTGGTGCTACACAGGGATAAAATATAGCAACAGCTTAGCAGGAGTGAAAGTGTTGATTTTAATTTAAAAGCAGATTATTTCCTGAAAATTACTTTTCTTATTTTCTAGTTGTAAAAGAAGAGAAAATCTAATTGTTTAATTGATTTACTTGAAAGAGAAGAGAATATCTAGAAAGCCCGAAAAAAAAAAAATATTTTTTTGTAATCCGTTTTTTCTAAGTCGTTCTTTAATACCATTTATCTTGATTAGAAAGAAGCTAACTTATCATCCTTAACAGCTAAATAGAAATAGAAAATCTGTTTCTCTACATATTGGGACATACAATTTGACTTTTTTTTAAGTCTTATCAATACATATCGACAGTTACCCAATAATGACGTGTGACAGTTTTCTTATACGTTTTTTTCAGTGTAGCTGTGCTCTGGACTTGGTACTCTGGACAAATGCTTTTAGCATGAAAAAGCATTCTGGAGCTGCGGGTAATTGATGGCATCGTCGCACACTGAAACCACTTCAATTAGCGGACACTGTAGTCAGTTCCCAAATCGATAAGTTGCACACGCTTAAATATTTAAAAATTTCACCCGAACCGTAAAACCCGCTGTCAGACCCACTTCAGATTTGCGTCGCTCACGTAGCAAACTAATTTATTTGCAAACTGGGAATTCGCCGCTGAAGCCGCCCACCAAAAGAACGAAAATAAAGCGGAGAGTGTGTAAACTCGGTCAAACCTGACTTTCAGCTCAGCACCGAACGGCGATTAATTTCTTCAGGTCTCAATCGCTGCTTAGACTCACTACCCACTTTCGACTTTCCACTTGCCACTTGCGAAGGAGATTTGCATGGCAGCATATCGGCCATGTTCATCGCAGCATAACCCAAAACTGTCAAACTCAAGCGGCTCCTTCCTTAGGCGACTTTCTACGCTGCTAACTTATCTACACTCAAACAAATTTTTGGTAATACTTAAAACTAAAATATGGCTACTATAACTAGATTTTTAGGCAATAACAATCGCCTCCCAAAAATAATTAAATCATTTTTTTAACTTAAAGATCATCTGAGCCACTAAAAACGCAAGCTTTTTTAAAATATGATTTTATTTTTCTTTTACTTGTTATTTTACCCCAATAATAATTGTTTTTTGTTAAGCCGACCCAAAGGTAGTAGCAAAACTAATATAACATTTGTAGTCATTGTAAGTTTCAGGAAAACAATCTTAAATTTTCTCTAGTGCTAGTAATTATAAATGTTTTAAAGTGACTAGGACATAAAAAATATCAGTTTTATTTTTTAAAATCCAGCTCCCACATTAACTTTTTTTAATAAACTCTTCCTTCAGGTGTATCTATTTTTCTACTCCGGTTTCACTGCTCGCCGTTTACTTTGTCATTTCAATTTTGAATTCGTGTCGTAGCGTTCAGCGCTTTATGTGGCATTTTTAAAATCCTGTACATGTCGGCCCAGGCACGGATGCCCAAGGACCCAGGAGCTGGTACGAGTTAGCAAAGACCAAAGACCAAGGAACAGGGACCAGTGCACGGGCGCCACGTTGGAATTCAATAAAGAGCTTCGACTGGCCAATGTCGGCACACTGGGGCTATGGCACAGCCATAACCGACGGAAAAAAAGAAAGGAAAAAAGAAAGGAAGGCAGGAAGAAAGGCAGACAGTTAGCCGGGCATGTTTGTCAAACAATCATTAGAGACGTCAGTCGGCGGAGGAAAAGCTGCAGGAATGTAGGCGTTGGAAAACATCACAATCAGCGTTAGCAGCTGCCGTCTGAGCCACATCACACCTAACCGAAAGCCCAAGTAGAGAGATGGCAGATATCCGTCGACCACTTCATTATGTGCGAATTTACGACGGCAGTTAAATGCGACGTCATTAGGAAAAGGCAAAAAGGGTGGGTTTTATTGCGAAATTTGATATATAAGCGGAAAAATAGAGAGGTTTTGAATATTTTTAAGCCTAAAAAAGGTAAATATTATATTTCTTTTTTAAGGAGTTGCTCTTAAGGTTTTTAATATTTTCTGAACAATCAACTTCTTAGCAAAGGATCATACCCCCAAATTCTTTTTTTTTTTAATCAAAATTGTATATGTTTTCATACCCTGCTCGTTATTGAAATCTTTATAATAACTGTTTATTTACTTCTATAACTTCTGAATCACAAAGTAGCCAAGATATTTAAAGCACCCTGATGCCAATTACATTATTTAGTAAAAAAAAAATATCCATAAATTTTAAACTAATTCTGGCTGTAAAAGTGTTCATCCCCCTGGCTACTTAAACCTATTTATATCATTACTGTTTTACTAAAATGTATGTGTCTATAAAGCTAGCTTCCTAAAAAACTTTGTAGTTCGTCTAATTTGCTAAGCCTCTCTCCATAGCTTAATTGGACAAAAATCTGCCACCACTCCACTCTTTTGTACTCTTCAGCTCCTGAATCTGTAGGATTTTCCAGTGCGCAGCTGTCCACATTCAACATTGCCGGCAACTGCAGCAATTTTCATTAGCTTAAAAACTTTGCCTTACCAAACTACATTTTTAATAAGTTTGTTTGTTTTATTTTTTTATCGCTGGATGGCTGGCTGGTGTGCTTTTCACTGAAAAAAATGCAAAAAGGGCATGTGGAACGATGGAGAGCGAAAGAGCATCAAAAAAACATGCATAAATCATCAAAAGCATCTCTGACAACTAATGAAAATATGCAAAAATTTATAGCTCAGTCAAATCGACGCAAAAAAATGTTCGGATAAAGCGCCGGTCGAATCAAGAAGAAAAATCCGAATAAAAAAATTCAAGCAAAAAATAAAAATAAGGGAAAACTCTCCTCCAACAGACCAAAGGCAAAAAGCATTTAAATTGAAAAAATGGCAGTCGAAAAATAAATTCATTTGCTTTATGCATGCCGCACGCAGCAGGCAAAAAAAAAAGTGGAGCCCGAGTGGCAAGGACACAGACAGGATGTGCGGTAGAGTTTTATGTGGCAGTTTATTTTTGGCGACACTATCACAGGAATGGCTACCAACACCCAGACTCAAATCTTTCTGTGCACTCAAAAAAACGATCTATAAACAGATGAGTCATCAATCCCAATTTAGCTACAATGCAAAGCTATACTATAATATTTGTTATCTATTACATTTTTAAGGAAAGCAATAATTTGGCATTTTAACTATTTCAACAAACTAAATTTAAATCTTAAAAACCTTTTTAATATACGTATCTGCATGCTTCTAAGAAGAATTGTCCACAACACTTTTATAATTCCCAACTAGTTAACGCAACAAATATTTTCAAACAATTTTGACTGATATTTAAATTTTATAATTTAGCTTAAAAATAAAAATAGGTAGACAAGAATATATCTATTTTTTGGAGTCTACCCCTAGGTTTCTATGTTTTTTCTTTATAATTCCTAACTGGTTAAAGGAATAGAATTTATTCAAGTTTCTCTTAAACACTTTTGATTGATTAAAATTGAACAAACAAATTTAAGCCTAGGATATAAATTTTCTTTTTTTTAATTTAGTTTATTAGGTATATAGTTTTCTATTTTCTGGGCTATTAAAATTTGTCTATTTAGTGCTGTGGGAAGCATATTGCAAGGCTAATCAATGTTTTATTTACATAAAGCCTATTTATTTATTGCTTGCCTTCTTCTGCCGAGTGTATGTCGAGTTTCCTACTGTTTGGCCACTCCTTTTTTCCGTAGTCCGCCGGTTACAGGACAAAAGTACCGGAATGTGACACGATGCGGCGACGGGAGGACAACGATGCGGCCATGTATAAAATTTTTCACAATTGCAATTTGTAATAAAAACATGCACTTTTTGCCATTGTTATATGCGACCCCGCATGCTGTGCTGCACTGTGGAATGGAGATCCCCATCGCCATCATATATGTACGAGTATGTGGGTCTGGGGAAGTGACATGCGTGTAAAACCATTTGCCGGGCGATGAAAAAGTCAGGGAAAAAAGTTCGACCAAGATGCCACCAACCGGGGCAGAATGAGCTCCGGTGCGATTGCGAGAGATAGAGGTGAATCGGGAAATTCGGGGAGGATGAGGATGTGGTGACCTCTTATGGCTTTATGCGCTTTTAAGTGCTCCACCCATTTCATAGCCATATCCATAGCCACATCCACATCCGAATGTCAACTGTTAAAGCGGTCCAGAGTGCAACTCCAAAAATAAACAGAGCATAAAATATGATTGTCGTTGTTTTTTTTTCAAAGTAATTCTCATAGGGGTAAAAAGCACTGAGAGGTATGTTAACAATGAAAAATAATTGATAGTGGCTGATGCTCTTCATATTTATGAGCACAAACCGAATACAAATAAGTTTAAAACTTTTTCACAAAGATGAAATAATGAATTTGAATGCGCACTCGAAAGTGATGACTTGAATTGTTCACAGTTTTAAAAAGCAATTTTAGCAACAAAAAAAACGACACAAGAGATATGTTTGAGTTATACAAAAGAAAACAAATTTAATACATGCTGAGTTTTAAGCAGGAACCAGAGGATCGATAATATATTAAAAATAGGTTTGTTCTTACTCCATTGAACTTCTTAATGTATTTTCATTTTATGTTCAAAGGTCAAGTTGCTAGTTATTTTACTAAATTTTAACGATTATCTTTTATTGTGCTATAACATGTCATCACATCACAATCTCTATCTACCCATAAATGTAATAAACAGTTTATGACCTTTACCGATATAACTCTGTGATAGTCAGTTACTTAGTTACTTAGTTCATTAGCAAAAATGGAGAAACACGCAACGGCCAGGGGTTTTTGCCTATGTCACCTGATTTGTGTGTGTTATCAGACTGGAAGGATCGGACTATATTTAGGATTCTATAATGTGGGCTACACAGAGGAACTAAAAAAATTCACTTGCGATGAGCAACTTTACGTGCAAATAATGGCTGTGGTTAATTTGTTTGCCAGTTGGCTTTATATCAGCTTCAGTTACCGATGGACCTACGATCAGTTTGTGTTCCTGCTTTATATACCACTTTATGTGTACTTTTTGATCCTAAGAAGACATCTTACGTCATCATAAATCAATGCAAAAGATTCTTGGCAGCCGACTGTGTGTAAAGATACGTAGAGAATGTATATACACTTTACTTCTGATTGTGTTGCTTATTTTGCTATTTTTATGGAAAATCAGAATATATTCTGTTTATCAGAGTGTTTTTATATTCGGCGTGGGATTTATCTACCACTTTGAGCTGTTGTTTTTCGGAAACTATCTCATTTAGCTGAGCTGTATCTATAGATTTCTAAATGTGTTTCTTTTTCAAGATATGATAAGTGATAGATTGCATATATTAAAGGGAATGCTGAGACAGCAAACCATTATATGGCGAGTTCATCGAAACGTGTCGAGATATTTTGCCCTTCACATTATAAGTTTTATGATCCACCCAGGTGTTCAAATTCGCATTATACTTGAGAGCCGTGGTCAACAAGTGTATGCTCATATGATTTATTCAATAATCCATTTACTCATATTGGCTTTATTTGTTTTAATTGCAAATTTCAAAAGAGATATTTGAAATTAAAAGATGATCCGAATAAATTTGTTTTAAAATCCTTGCAACACAGCACTTTGCCAAAGGCTTTTGAAGTAACATTTTTGAGAAGGCAAGAAAAAGTGCAGAGCAAACAGGATGAGATTACTATGATGGTGAGTATTTTATTTAATTTTTGTCAAATATATATTTTACTATAAATCTATTTTCAGTTCTCCAATAACTATCCAGCTGTACTGTTAACTAAAAAAACTTTTTATTTAACAATATTTGCCTTCTAATGTGTTAAGATTGGAATTTCCTTATCAATGCTGACGAGTTGCCCAAAAACTCACATTCGCGAGCTCCTTCTTTTGCTAGTTATTCGCTTACTTTATCACAAAAACTTAACATTACAGGAGTATGAGTACGAGTCCCAGGATGATTTCAATGGCAATGTGACCCAAACAATTAGTCAAGTCTATCGCTTTTATTTCTATGATGAGTTCGAGTGAATAATAAACAGCAAAATGAGCCACATTAACTTAATTAATAATTACCTAATGGTTGCGGAGAGAAAATGTGGTATGAATACCACTTTGTTGGAACTTTCAGTTGTTTCTCGAAATGGCACGACTTCGCTTCATCTTTAACATTGTGAAAGTTTTGCGATTTCCCTTGCATTTCTTTGGACTTCTTCAACTGAGATTTAGTGAATCTCGAAAACTATATCAACAAAGAGCCAACCTTTGCAGATTTTTATCTGCAATTTTTATTTCGCTGATTTTAATAATGCATAAAATTGTGAGTGGTCAGTGGGAAAAACAGAACCAGTTGTTTAATGCCCTGAATATTGAAAAAAGACCATTGAGAAGTAATGCCGAATTATGGAGCGAGAAGCTAACCAGTCTCTTTATTTTCCTGACTTTAATCTGGTGTTTGGGAAAAAAATATCTACTGTGGAAAGTGATAAATGAGGTACAATTGGCATATAAACATCTTAAATCTTTCATGGGAAAATATTTAATTGTGGAATGTTCTTGGCTCGTTTTCATTTACGCAATACTTTTGCTGCTGTTACTAACAATTTTTGGAGTGCAAATTGTTATTTTAAATTGGTCAAAAATTTATACTGGACGAAGAACATTAACCATTACCGAACTGTACGAGGTGTCTAATTACATAATGGGAATACCCCGAATATTTTTTGTGCTGCTTATGGCACTGCATATTCTATATCATCTGATGAATGCAGGTTGGCTTCAGTCTCTGAACGAGTTAAATTTGCAAAGGAATCTTAAATTATATCAGTTCCAGATCTATAACATATTTTCCATACAAAAAACTTTAAATATCTTGGCTGGTCATTATTTTAGAATGTCGTATATATGTTACTTATTTATAATGGCTTTTCGGACAGATGAAGTTTTGCACTTCCTTCGTTTTGATTCCAATGAGTTTGTGCAACAGCAAAAGACCCAAGAAGATCTTGAAGAGGAAGCTACTTGGGCTGGCCAGGAAAACCTGACAAACCTCAAGGAGCCGCTGAGGAAATCTTTACTTTTATTATCCTGGCATTTGGTTTTGTGGATTTTGCTACTTGCTCCTGCATATTTACAGCAGGAGGAATACTTTAAACTTATGGAAAAAAGCTGGATTTTCAAATCGGATGAAAACGGTTGCGAAATTAAAGAATTTCTTAATAAAAATAAATGGAATGGTCATTCGTTCAAGCAATTGGATATTCTGGACATTATGGTTGGGAACATAAGATATTTACTATATTCTTTTTACTTATATAAGTACTTTACTATATAGTTTCTTTCAGGAATTTCTATTTGCGAACGTCAACACAATTCCATTTGTTTTATGACTGACATATATCGAAAAAAGAAATCAAGCTATCATAATTTAAATATTATAGCAGGGCACTTTAAACTTCTTTTATTTATATTGATTTTCTTCGCTGTTGTCTACTTTTTACAGCAAACGGAACTCAGACAACTGCAGGAATACCTCAAACTGGATTCATAACAAAGTTAACTCACGCAACTTATCAGCATGACAAATTTAATAATAATTAAATTAGTATATAAATAAATTATGCCACAGAAGAAGCCCAGATGCTTTGTGTCCACTTTTCACCTTTCCCAGCAATTACTTAATGAATACAAAGCACAAAAGTCGGGTGGGTGGCTGGCCAACCTTTTTGCCATTTTAATGACCTGACCTCGGGCCCCTTCAAATATCACAGACATTAAAAGGCAACCCTCAAAACTTTTGCCATTATAAACATAAAATGTAAGCCAACAAATGGCCGCCGTATTGTTGTTATTCCAATGGCCTTGCTCTGGCTCTGCTCATATCTTAAGGATCCGCACCTTTTTGCGTGGCGCCAAAAAAAGGTGTAATTTATGCGCCAAACTTGATTGAATTTATTCGCAGTCGAGATTTACTCCCGGCCAGCACACAACATATCGATACAGTCAAAGAATATCAAATTAAATTCAATAAATTAACATAAATCTGAGTAAATTTCCTGGCACTCTGTTGCCCGCTCCCATTGGTATGCAAATGGCAACTGCACGGGCCTGAGCTTTCCGTGTTTTATATTTTATTTCGAGACTCCAAATCGGAGCCGCTTCGATCGATTCCAATAAACTTCTTGCCACGCGATGCGAGCAACTGGCAACATATGCGCTATCGTTGCAGCCGCCGGCAGGCCGTCAGTAAAATTGAATCAGCGCGGGGAGAGAAGGCAAGAATTCGAAAAGCCAAAAAGGAAATGAGTCGAGCGGATTGAGGCTGGGTTGGGGAACCATTATGAAGTGGTGTAAATACCTTTAACGTTTTCCAAAACACGAATTTCTATAATTTTTAGTTTTTATGTAAGAAATTATGTTTGTTTAAAAAATATATCTTTTTTAAATCTATAAGCTAAATAAACTTAAATGCATAAACCCACATCTGTGATTTTTTTATGGAAAAATACATTACAATTAGACTGTAGAGAACGTTCATTCTGTCTAAATAATTTCTTTAAATAATCCAAAGCTAACCACATAAATGTTCTTTTGAGTCTGAGGTGAACAAATTGGTTTTGTACTTGTAACGCATGGAAGAAAATTCTGAACTAATAATTGAGTTCCAAAAGTCTCCCAAAGTTAAACCAAATTTGTTGATCACCAAAAGCACTTAGTGCGGCGGATGTAGATGTTCGAGCACTTTAAGAGTGCACCTTGAAACGGCGTTTGGCATGGCTGACCCGCTGTCATTTCGAATCGGAGTCGCCATTTTGTCGGCCTTATTTTGTTTTTGGTCGCGCAATGTGTAGGCGCCATGTCTATGTGTCTGCGATTTCTTTTGGCACTTTTGAAAGTCTGCCAAATGGACAAAGCCAGAAAGGCGGAAAAGTTCAGACCGGCGTGCAGAGCAAACTATAGTACAATGTTGCTTGGTTGCAGTTTTGGCGATATAGTAATATAATGACACGTGTGTTCTGCTGTGTTGGCCTCGGTGGAAATTATTGATTAAATGTGCGTTTAGGGCGGGATACGCTTGATTGTTTGCGGTGACAGCTGTCGGCTGAGCGTTTGCAACCGCCTTGACTTCTCCGGCATGCATAATTAATCCATGCGGGGTGGGGTTTCACACAAAAGTCAAAGGGTCGTCCTGGGATGGATGAATGGATGGATGGATGGATGGATGGATGGATGGATGAATAGATGGCCTGGCGAAGTGTGGCTAATGAAATTTTAATTAGTGCAAGACAAGCGATAAAAAGTCGGAAGTATGAAATTACCATAAATGGAAAGCCGACGGAGGAAAATCAATGATAAACAGGGCCACACACACACTCATACACGCATACACGCACACATATGGGCAGAGTTCCGGGGCAATTACATGCATCAAAGATTCATATCTCCTAAATGCCGCACGGCGTCGTCGTCGTCTTTTCCCTTTTCATAATGCCATCATAATGACTTTATCTCTCTCAAGCAGGCAATAAATCTTGTGGGCCCCCAAAGGAGAGCCCTAGATAAAATCCAAAAGGGAAGCCAACCGTGGGAGGTCGCCATGGCCGTATAATGAAATATTACGCATACGCACAGTATAGAGCACTCATCTAACCCACTTTCTTCGGCCCCATTTTGCGAACAGAGCAGCGCGCCCATCATAAAAGTTAATTAATATGGCTTGGTTAGCTGTTAAATACAGCGCAAAATATGCCTATGGCCTGACCCAGCAGCCCGCTGACGTCATTTATCATTCTGCCTAGCCAGTGGCACATGGGTCGTATGCGTAATATGCGCTGACAGTTAGTTGACCACAGATTTAAACCTACAGCATCATCTCACCCTCCGCCGGCAGTCCGCTTTCGTATCGGCCATCAGCTATCAGCGAATGGGAAACCATTGGAAATTGCACAATACGAATTTGCATGCAAATTCCAATGGCCACATTGTCAACTCGGCGAGATTAAATTCTGAATTTGATCGAATTGTAAATAACCTATCTTGAAACTGAAGATTAGAAGTATAAAAATATCTTAAAAAATTAAATCTTTCAAATTTGTTACTCTATTTTCTTGATGTTCCCTTTCTAATTTTGAATATAGCTTAAATATTTTAAAATATTTTTTTTATTTTTTACAAGCGAGTGTATCGATATTCCCACGATATTACCCCTTAATCAGCTGGTCTAAAAAATATGCAAACGAAGTGGAGTATCTATGTAAATGTTTGTTTGTCTACAGTCTGGCGACGCGGGGTTTACCTGCCATTTGGCATTGTACGGAGCCTTCTCCAGTTCCCCAATTTGCATCTGCCACTCAGTTATTCTCTATACGTATACAATATATTTGAATCTCCGGGCGAGCTGGCAAGAAAATATGTTCCGTTTTTAAACAAATCCAAATGAAATCTGCGCATAACAACAAAGTTTTTTTTCTCAAAAAAGTTTTCATCTGACGAAAAAAATAAAAAATAAAGTCTTTTGGGCTAAAGAAGGAAAACTTTGCACTGGCCGTGGATTTTGTTTTCTGATAAATTTATACAGATATTGAAATCTATTTGTAATATTTCTTTCTTCCCTTTTTTTTGTGCTTTGATATGGAGCGGAATGCCTGATGAAATTCCGTACTGTATACACTTTTGATTGAATTTTCAGTTTGCCATTTTGCCTTTTCCATTTTTGTGCCTTCAGCCGGAGGCGAATTAGAGATTGTGAAGGGAGGCAAAAACAGGTTTTGTAAGCATTTTCTGAGCAACAATCTTCAATTACAGCTGGAAAATTGCCTGGGGCGAGATTGCAGAAAGGGGATGTCGAGATTTAATCACAATTAACGTCATTCGGGGCAATCGGATAAAACCACAAAAGCCAATTAGTCGGCAACAAACTTGGCAATGCTTCACAAAATGGGTAAAATGCAAAAGTATTAAATATCGCGATAATTGCATTATAATGGCAAACAAGTGCATAAATAAAGATAAGGCTAAACTTATAAATAATGAAAAATTATGAACAAAATCCCAGTGAAAATGTTCCTGAGCAAAAAGTGTAGCTGTCAATTGAATTTATTATATAATTAAGAGCAATTTGTGTGCCGCTAATTGCAGCTGTTTTTCGGGCTTCATTCGCGGCTAATTATTTAATGGCAAGTAAAAACATTGAAAATTTGTGGAACGTGCCCATTGAAGTGTGCAACAAAATCGTTAGTTTGCAGACATGATTAAAGGCTCATTTAAGTGGGATATTTAAGTTTATTAAATGTTAAATACATGCAAGTTGATTTCTGTGATTATACTTATTAGTAGATAATGCAAGCAGTAAAGTTGCATTTTGATGAGCTTTAGCATGTTTAATCTTTGATATTTAAAACGATTTGCTCTACCACAGGTTATATAAATATAAATTCACTCATTTGAAAATGACATTTGAAATGACAAACAATCCTCTTTGGCACACTTTTAAACGCTTTTTATACAATTTGAGGCCTTTGTGTGTTATTTTATACATTAATATTTTCAACCGCAACAAAAGTTTTAATCCGCGAATAATCATTTTGTTAAACAGAAAAAGCATTCAATATGCATGCCCAATGAGTTTAATGAATGTTTTGTACATTTCCCCATTTAGTTTGCAACTTTTAGGTGCCACAGATTTTTAATTAATCAATGACAAATTGTGCACGTGCAACCGCACTGTGTGCTCAATGGCGGATTAATTAAACAACAATAAATGCAGACAGCATGCGTTTCAGCGCCCCACTGATTTTTATATTAATTATTATCAAAATGTTTGCCAGCATTAATGTTATGTGCAAATTTGTGTCGCTCTTTGGCCGACTGGTTATTTGCAGGCTCATTAAAAACGGACAATGCCTGGCTGCATTTTCCACCACTCTCTGTTTTCGCAACTTTATAAATAACGATGCGGAGAAATTAAATTGTTAACTTTGAGCGGTTTGTTCTTGATTTTTAAAAACTTTCTGCGCTTGGACAGTTTTCATGACATTTATTAAGCTGTCCTGGTGACAGGCAGCAGCGCAGCTTGTTATGAAATGCAAGTACGCTGTACAAAAAGCGTTGCACACTTCCTGAATTATGAGTAGAACTAACGCAAGGACTTGCAGGACGTGGATGATTCCGGGCAGGAAAAAAAGAAGCTGCACAAGACGCGGCGAAAAGTCATACTTTGAACATGCAGCGCTGATTCCGAATGCAGTCAGCTTCGGCTTCTCAGTTTGCCTTTGAAGCTTTTACACTTAAATGAAAGACGTGAAAGTTTAAAGAGAAGAAATCTTTAAGGATATTAAACTATGGCAAATGCATTAAAAACTATAAAAGTGTCAAAAAGTATGCAACAATTTGTTTTGGACACGGAAGTCTAATGGAAAAATCCTTAAAGACAATGTTTTATTTTTCATAACATACTTTTAGACACCTTTATATGTGATTTTCAAACCATCGTTCGCTGTACGTTTTTAAAGACTCGACAAATATTAATTTTAAAATAATAATGTTAATTGT